CCCCAAGCCCCTGACTGAAAGAGAACTCTGCTTCTGGAAGCCATGAACACGGGGCAGGGTGCAAATAAATTATGAGAACAGATTTCAGGAATCACATGCTGGTTAAGCCTTGCCAAAAGAGCAATAATGCAGTATTCTTTGAAAAGCAAATCTTCCTGAAAGGAGCATGTCATGAAGAATGCTGTGGGCTGTTGTAAGTACGCCAAAGTTAAAGTTGCTCTGAATTGCTGACACGAGCGATATCTCAGGCCAAATGGCTTGATTTTTATCTTGCAACAGCAGCGGAATTCCTTAAGTTTGTGAAAGGACCTGTTTTAAACCCGCAAGCTATTGTCTTGCGGCCTTGGGTTTAACGGGGAACATTTCAGAGGGCACGATGTTCCTTCTTGCTGGTTAGAAACGTTACTCCGTGATCAACAGCGCATGCCAGCAGTGTTTCCGAAAGAAATCGAAGCGCTGTGAAACCATCTTAGGGTGGAAAATAACAACAATAATTATTCGTTATGCTGCTGCCATTTTTACTGTGTGGTTCTAATATTTTAACTCTGTGAAAATCAGTTGGGGAAGCGCACTGTGCCCTTTTTAAAATAGACAGGGATGGCATGGGGATTCTGCAACAGTTCAGTCCGATGGTTCAACGCATCCCCGGATCCAAGCGAAAACCAGTCTACGTGGATGCAAGGCAGCTGTAGATCTCGCAGCCAGGTGTAAGAAATGGTGGCGACGGCAGGGTTTGGTGGGCGTTTATTTAAAAAAAAAAGTTAAATTCCTGCTTAAGAACGGGTCGAGTGATACTTTAGCAATACAAAGACTATAGGAGAGATTTTGCTTTTAAGGTTAAGAAATTAGAACGGTTGCATTCTTTCCTGTTGGCCAACTTTTGCATTTTATTGGGCTACGTCCAAGTTTTAAATTCTTCGCAATGACATTTTGTACTGCAAAATTACTGGAAAAATAGGACTTCTGAGTGTTACCTGCCTGGCCAAAGTTGGAAGCCAAGGGCCCTTAGAGCCTGCAAAAGATTCCTCAGCGTTCATTCGACGTGTTATAGCTTTTTCTGGGGCCTCCTCTTGTGCATTTTGCACACACACAAACACCCCCCCCAAAGCTTTTCACAATCTGGCACCCTCCCAACATTAGCATCTCTTAGAGACAGCATCGCTTTTTGTACGATGGAGAAGAGATACCTTTGAACACATTTGTGTAGCAATATTACTCCAGAGTAGATGCACTCCGGGCCTCTTTTAAGTTGCATTTCTCAAGGGTAAAAGCTTTGTATAAATCCTTTTTTTTTCTTTAAGTCTCACTCTTATGTCATTTTCAACATGAGTACTTTTAAATAACTACCTGTGTATTTTTAAAGAAAGTTTAAAATGTGCGTCCTCATGATTTAAAGCTCGTCTTGCTGGGCCCTTGGAAAGGCCTGGATTTTGCTGTGCAATGTCTACAATGTGGTGCCAATGCCAATGCCAATGTGCTTTTAAATCCATCCTTTTAATGTCACAATAAATTATCTGAAGAACGTAACCTGAGATGTGCGTTGTATTCACTGCCGTGAACCGGATAGCAGTGGGCTAAACAGTTTAGTCTCTTGTGCTCGTATTTTTTCCAGCGCTGATGGGAACGAGGCCTTAATTCTGAGTGAGAAATAGGTAACAGGATAACCAAGAATGGATCACTCTTGCTTTAGTTAGAAATAGATATTTGATAAGGCACCTTCACTTAATATTATTCTGTTCCACTAGTTTCTCCAGCCTGAATGCTTTCCAATAGTGTGGCGTGTAATTTTTTTTCTTAAGAGTCCCAAATACCATTCTAATTAGGAAAACAAGGAAATGGCCCTTGTTTTTTAAACTTTTTTTCCCCTACAGGAGATTTCTAGGGTTAGAATGTCTGGGGGAAGACAATTTGGACAGTAATCCATCATCATCGTCGTCGTCATCATTTATGGCTGCCCACCGACAAAGACTCTAATTAAGACCTCTAGTATTATTTAGAAGTTCCAATGAAGGTGATGCGTCCTCTTCTGAGTAAGAAATGTATAGAAGATGTTAGTGTCCGTGTAGAGTCCAGACGTTGCAGCTGATGCAGGATCTGACGGTCCGATTCTAGGTGGAGCATTTGGCCTGAATCTGTTATGTGTCTGTTACAGCCACCGCGCCTGCGACCGATCGCCTGTTGAACCAGGCTGTCTTATGACATCCAAAGGTTTCAGCTGCCTTCCTGACAAACCAACTTCACTGTTCCAGACCTGGCCAATCGCTGACGACAACAGGAGAATTCCTTCTCCTTGTGCTGAACACCAACATCGCAGAGCTTCTCCGTTCTGGAAGGCTCTTCCCGGAAGTCCGTGAAATGTATTTAGTTAGATTTATATCGCTGCCCCTCTAGCCGAAGCGACCATCTAAAAGAATAGTCTTGATGACGTGCCATCGAGTCATTTTCGACTCCTAGCGCCCACAGAGTTAGATTTTCTCCGTGACGATCTATCCCTAACCTGTCCTTCCAGGTTAACCATGCTGTCACTTGTTGAGATGGGTGGCTATAGAAATCAAATAAATAAATTAACAACCATTAAAAAAAATATGAATAATGATATAAGCAACCATACGACACCACATGGGGAAAAAAGAAACAGAACTGAGTTGCTGTTTCTGAGGCCTTTTAAGCGCCTGTTGAAGATCTCTCTCATCTCTGCATGAACGTTCGATGAATGATTGTTCCTCTGGTTTGGCTTTTTACTTTGTACGGTTGTTGATTTTAAATTTAACGGTCTCTGGTTTTCTCTTTTGTAAACTGTGTTCAGAGACTTTGGGATGGGGAGCACTTTCAACTGTATTAATATTAAATTATATTTTTTGCGGATGCTGGTATGTCACTCCTGGAAATCCTCAGTACGTGGTTTCTGATTTTGAACTGGAATATTACTTTTGGCTGCCTTTTCTCCAAATACATGTTAGAGAAATTCTAAACTGAAAGCCACTATGGCAGGGTTTCTCAACCTTAGCAAGTTTAAGATGTGTGGACTCCAACTCCCAGAATTCCCCAGCCAGCCATGGCATGGATGGCTGGGGAATTCTGGGAGTTGAAGTCCACACATCTTAAACTTGCTAAGGTTGAGAGACCCTGCATTATGGGACTGAGACAGAGTATAACAGAGCTTTCTCAATTCTGGTTAAAATGACATTACAATCATCAAAGAAAGTGTTTGCTTTAAAAAAAATAATATTGCACACCTACCCTTGGCACTTGTCTCTTGTTCTATTCGTGCAAATAAATTTCTGCTGGGAGTTCAGGTCGTGCAAATGTGTTTGCAATCCTGAACGCCTCTGAAGAATGTCCCCTGGGTGTGGATTCCCCCTACACACACTTTCCATACAATTTATGCAAACTCGGGCAGGTGCGGCTGTCAAGCGCAGCGTTTATTATCTAGTCATCCACACCAAATTTGTAAAACTGAGAAGGACATAAGGATAGTGGTTAGATACTCAGGGGAAAAAAAAAAGATTAAGGTAACTCCAATCTCGGCTGTAAAAAAAATAATAATTGTGGTAAAAGTGATGGTGCTTTACAGAACTCCCTGAGACTTACTGGGTTGCAACACTGCCGGCTGTTTCTTCGAGATTTTGGTGCCCAGCTTAGGAATGGGTCGCCTTCTGCTTTTGGTGGCCATGATGGAGGAGGACTTGCTCTTGGGCAGCGGATGCTCTTTCTCCACCTCGGCCGCTTTGTCCAGTTCGGGCAGCTGCTTGCAAGGAAAGGAAGGCTCCAGCGGGAAACTTTGTTGCAAGAAAGCCCCGTAGCGTTTCCTCCGGTTCAGCCTGTAGTTGCACAGCCTCTCCTCTTCTGCGATGGGGTCCTCCAGCACGCCGTCCCAGCGAAGACTCTCGTTGGGCTGGCCAGCGTCTTCTGGAGTCAAGACGGAAATGGCCGGCGGGGAGGCCGAGAGCGGACGCCTCGCGGCTTTGCCTGGCACGCCCCTGGCGTGGTCTTCCTGCGGCCCGCCAGTGCCGTGCTGGCGCTGGAGCAGGTGGAGGGGGAATATGGCAAAGATGGGCTGCTTCTTGCTTTTGCTGGAAGTCTTTTCTGCTTCAAAAGATCAAGAGTCATTCGGAGCAATTTTGGATTCGGACAGTACCAAAGAGGATCATCCTAACACCCCTGGGCGGGAAGAGCTACACGTAACCAAGCATCCAATACTGACTCGCCTAAATTCCCAACCTCCAAAGGAAGCTTTCACCCCCCATGGCTGACATTTGGACAAGTACACAGGCGCACAGCTTCTAGCCACAATCCTTTCTCATGGGTATTTTTTGTTAAGTACCTGGCATGGGGCAAAAGTCCAGTCTAAAGACTTGCCTGCCACCCAACCATGATTCCATCCTTCCTTCCCTGCACAGATACTTCCTAATGTGAAAATACAGGTTGTCCTCACTTAATGACTGCCTTGGACAGCGACCATTTGCAGTTACGACGGTGATGAAAAAGTAACTTTGCAACCAATCCTCGCATTTACTACCTTCTCTCTCTCAGTCACGTGTTCACCATAACAGTCAATACACATCATCCTGTGTAAAATCGTAGGCATAGTTGTGGTCACATGATTTTTCACTTAGTGACCGCTTCGCTTAACGACCAGGTTGCTGGTCCCAATTGTGGTTGCTCAATGAGGACGACTTGTAACTGAATAAGCCAAATGTGTTGTTTCTCTCCATTAGGGTGGCCAATGTAAGGGGGAGGGAATGCTGACCTATATGCAATGCCCTGCTGGATTGGACCCCTGGCCCATCTTGTCCAGAGCCTCTTCTCCCAGTGGCCCACCAATGGCCCAAGGAAGCCACAGGTCTCCCAGCAGAGGGCCATCAGTCCCACTAATAGCCCTGGATCCTCAGGGCTTCCAGGAAGTGGATCAACCCGTTTTGGAAACCAGCCAAGCTGGTAGCTGGCAACTCATTTTGGGGTCAAATGTCCCATCTAACCCTTCCAAGAGTTAGGGGACTAAAATGACACGTTAATGCCTTACTTCTATGGTTCGCCGCTGCCATCATCACCCGTGCCAACAAACAGTTCCAGAGCCCATAGGAATCCATCCTAACCACCATTCCCATGCCAAACCAATGGGTCCGTGAGCTGCCATGATAAATCTCCCTCTGTCCCTAATTGTGGAATTACCCACAATGCAGTGAGTGCAGCCAAGGACTGCTGAGCTAGGAAAGGGGGTTGCTAATGGCCCCCTCGACTGCGAACCCCTGAAACGTCGGTTGGATTTCATACGGCTACCCACCGTGATCACGAACTGCCTTCTTCTTCTTCTTCTTCTTCTTGCTCGCTTTCTTCTTGCCGGGCGACGAGGGCAACTTCGCTGCCAGCTTGCTGCCCTTCGCTCCCTCCCCTTCAGACGAGGCGTCTCGCCGGCCCGTCTCCATCCTTCTGGGAAGCCCCCGTGGCCGCCGAGGCTGAGCCTGAGACAAACGCCAGGACACGCGCATGGTTATTTGCCACCTCGCCACTGGGTGCTGCAGACCCACACAGTCCTGAAGTTGGAGTCCAACCCTGTTAGCTGAAGTTGCACGAGACCCTGAACCCTGGGTAACTACACAGGCTGGGTTTGGACAGCACCCCGAGCCACAAACCAGCCAATGTTCTCCCTGGGCCATCCTCCCCAGGAATCATGGAAAGGCCTTCTGGAGGGACCCCATCTGATTCCTCACTCCAGAACTCACCTTCCTGGCATCAATAACAATAACAATAACAACAATAATAATAATTATTTGACGAAATCTCCACCAGTCCATTGCAAAAGGCAGCTTTACTTAAAACAGCTTATATCTGAACACCATAAAACCCAATATCTGCCTATCCCAGGTCCTTGGGAAGCACTTGATAGTGGGCAAAAATGCCAAATCCAGTCTGAACATCTGGCTGACTGTGCAATCATCATCATCATCATCATCATCATCATCATCATCATCAT